TAGCCTACTATCTGCTTACAACACAAGTTTTCCCTCGTTGTTCAGGAGATTACGCAGCCCAGACGGAGAAATGTGATAAAATTGTAGGCTGTCAAACAAAAGGGGTTTTTTCATGACGAATGTGAACGGTTGGCCTAGCCGTAGAAATAAAGCTGCGTTTTCAAATTTACCCGGCGTAGTTTAGACGGGGCCTAAATACAAACGGGAACCAGATTGAAAACAACCTCTATAATGTGTTTGTTTGATGTCTCCGCTGCGCGCCATCTTTACCAACTATTCACATGAAAGTTAAATGTATTAGTGTAAATTCCGAGGAGTCTGACAGGAAATACGTTCTCTGTTCAAAACCCTAATAAAGGAAAAATATGCCAACCAGGAAGAATCGAATCTTTTGTAGCCAGGATCGATAAAACTCTTGAGATGATAAGGAAAAATTGGCCGACAGATCCATATTGCAAAACAGAAGACGAGAGATGAGAAACAGAAATGAGATTAAACTGGGAAATATCAGTTGATTATTTATTTGAGTAAAAATTTTCAGTTGTTGGAAGTTTTTCTCATTTCTGTCCCAATCTTTCCGTGTCGTAATCGATCGGCTAGAACTAGACAAAACATACAGAAGTTACCCCTTTATCAGTTGGGAATACAGGCTGTTTGGCAGTTCCCCCTTTTTGTCAAAATAGTGAAAATTCGGTCATGTCTGCTTCGTAGTGTTCTTTTTGAATCTGATCCAATACACACCCCGCAAATCTTGGTTTACCCAAGAACGTGGCTGTTGTACAGCTATTCAGTAGTGATTTTTTTTTTCAGTTTTGCGGCTTTCTCTGGGCTGGGCTGCATATCAAATTATCAATAATGCTTAGAAAGTTCGGTTGGAAAACAACTACAACAATAATTTCTCTTATAACGTTTTGAGGTACATTTTGTCTTGGTAAATAAAGCATTTTTTGAAACATTAAATGCTATTTGTTCATTTTTCTTTTCCATTTGCACTCTCTAATTACCACCGGAAACTGATTTTTAAATGGTGAACATAATCTTCTTCCGTTGGTTTTCTGATTTTAGAAAGAAATACTAGCTTATTATTCAAGGGCGATCCTAACAAGTTCTTTCCGGCAAATAGTACTCCCAAACACCTAAGGTAGAAACTAATTAAGTAGAAAATGTTTTTTCATCAGTGAAAATACAAAATGAAATTGGCTCGATTTCAAAGTTGAGAAAACTGAATATGTCTGGCTTATCAAAAACATCCATGCAAGGGCTTTTAGGATACATACTGTACTACACCTCAGCAAACAACGGGAATATATTCATAAATAAGCTTCATCAGTCTTGATTAAAGAAATCAGGTCGGCTTCTGGTATACAACAAATGGACAACGTGATGTCCGTTTTTCCTCCGCACCGCAAATCCAAAAAGACTACCTCAGAAAAACGAGCAGAAAAATAAGAAAAGGGGAGAAAAACGGGAAAAATGCGAAGTATTACTCAACCCCTTCTCACCCAAAGACTCAGTTGTGGAGGAAAACAATGGTAATGAAATTCATGTTGTGCTTGGGTTAATGTTACGTCCCGAATTTGTTAGGAACAGACACATTTTATCCCTCATTCAGGGGCTAGGGAAGTTACAGTGCAATACCTTACTTATATTGCCTACTATTGAGAAATGAAGAAACAGGATTGAACTCGAACCCTGCTAGAATTTTTATACAATTGTTATGACTACTAGTGACTGACTATTTAAACAATTTACAGTTATTTAACCAACACAATGCTTCCGTGAAAGAAATGCCCTGGGTCTTACATGCCTCTTTGGAGAAGGAACCAGCCAGTCACCCAGTTGTGCGAGGTGAGTACATTTATTTTTTAAATCATTAACCATGCATGCCAGTAAACAAAAATATAAATAGAGGCATGAATGAACCACAGTTGCTAAGACCCAGGATGGCACGCCAAACTGAAATCCCCATTCGTTTAAGAATGCAGCTGGGTATGTTGTCAAAATCCTATTTAATTAGTTTGACTCGGTTGGCAGCAGTAATTTAATGAATTGGACACTTTTTATTTGCTAACAATAATCATAAAATGCGTCAACAGAAGAAAAACGCTATTAAAAAATTCTATTAATATAGCAAAAACGCCATTCTTTATCATAATTGGACCCTGCCATTTTGTTATTCCCGTAGAGAAGTAACTTTTCCTTCGTACACTGCATATTGGGTGTACAAATATACCTACCGTGCTCGCCACCGTACTCGAGCATATTTCGTACCCGCATATTTTTTAAATAATTATTATGAAAAGAATATATGTACTTAATATTTTGCTCCCTGTCAAATAGAATTAATTTTCATTTTAAGGCCTTGTAAAGAAGCTGCGTTGACTCAGCTCGCGTCTTCAACGTACTCTCCCTTAACACCCTGTGTTTCGAGGCGTGGCTGCAGCAGTGATGAAACATGGACGCCTTCAGCTCTGCTTGTATTTGACGACAGCATGCAAGAATTTGGACTGACTCCAGAGAATGTTGAAGGTCCAGTCCAAGTTTTCAACTCTTGTATGGACAGCCTTGCCGATGTTGTGAGAAAGGCTAGGATTGATCCTCTTCAATCGCAGGTAGCTTGCTGGGAAAACTGTTCTAATGCTTCAGATCAGCAGTTATCCATAAAGCAGAAGAAGCGTGTCAGCTAATGTGAGATGTAATAGCGCCAAATGATGGAAAGCAATTATTCCAAGCCATCGTAGAACAACAACAAAATAAGGGGGAAACTCGTGGTGCTGG